CTTTCTTTAATAAACTAATAATTTTTTTTAAAGTTTTTTCAACAAGAAATTCTCAGATCGAAGATTTTAAAGTTTAGAAATTACCTGGTTTTAATCCTGTAAGTTATGCGTACAATATTTTAAAATTTTTTAAAAGCCACATTAATACTGTTTTTTTTTATGATTTATGTAGATCAAATAGAAATGAATTAATCGAAAAAAATAATTCAAATCAAATAAAATGATATCATCAAAAACAGGTTTTTTTGCGTTCGTAAAAAAAGAAAATTTGTTCTAACAATAGCTGATAAACTATTGATAAGCTGATAATAGACTATCGCTATTGAGAAGCTGATAATAGACTATTGATAATATGCAAATATAATTTTTAACTCGAGAAAGTCTTAACAATTTATTGTCCATGTACGACCAAACCTTAAACTTGCCATTATGAAAAAGAAAAAAAAAGTTTTCTTGATAAAATTAAGGTCATATTTGCACGAATCCTGTTTCTTTTGCAGAAATATCCAGTTCAATCAAGTGATTATGATTCGTCATATCTTATGAAACTTTCTGGGACATCATTCCAGGAAAAAAAAAAAAAATCACACATTATTACGTTATTACGTTATTACGTATGTATGTACTTGCGAACGTATGTTAATTTGGTTAGCAAACGAAAAAAATTTTTTTCCCCAAGATTAATAAGGAAAGAATACGCCAGCTAAATTATAAAGATACGAATAATTTTCTTTCAAATATAAACACAAACGTAAAAATGCAAACGCGTGTAAAGAAATACTAGACGATTAAGATCAAGAGAAAACAATGACGTCTAACTTACGAACAGTTATGAAGTTAATAAGTAATAAGTTAATGAGAAGAAAAAAAAAAAGAGCGAAAATTGTTTACAAACATAAAAGATTTATCGGTATACAAAAAAAAACAATTGAGTGAAGATTGAATGATGATTGGATTAAGATTGGACTAATCCAATAAAAGCTTATGATTTTGTTTCAGTTATGTCCAATAAAAGCTTGGTAGTTTGTTTCGGTCATGAGAGCGATTGGATTCCGATTTCGGACAAAACATTCGAGATTCCGACAAGAAAGATGTGCCAATTGCGTGATTGCGTGAAATTGTGAGAAGGTTCTCACACAGGCCATTTCCAAGAATGACTTTGACAGCCTATCAGTTGAAAATTGAGAAAAGATTTAGATAAATTTTAGTTAAACTAGTTTAAATATTAGTTAAAAATACCAGTTGTAAACCGGCTTTAGGTATTAAAGCTCATGATAAAAAAATAATCACGGTTAGTTCCGTAGTTCCATGATATACTAAATTCATAGTAAATTCCGTGAAGGAAAAAAATATTGATGAAATAAATAAACATTAATAAACATTAATAAATGAACTAAACAAAAAATAGTATAAATAATAATAGAAATAATCGGTTTAGCGCAATGATATGAAACAAGTCCACACTTGAAATTTTTTTTGAAATTAAAATGATCAGATAAGCCGTATACTAATTAAAAGAGATGCATATATTTACCTAATTAAGAATAGAAAAATTAAGATCATAATGGAACAAAAAATTTTTTAAAAATTTAAGCAGTTAATAATAATAGTATTGTTTTTTTCATCGATTATACGTACCGATTATACAGATTATGCATCAATAATAAGGTTTAATACAGGTTATTATGTTATGTTATTATATGTTATTATGTTACTATGTTATTATGTTAATAAGGTTATAACAACAATATACGTAATACGTACGTATAATCTAATTAACGTTAATATGGTTTAATATTAATATAGTTAATATAGCTTAAATAATAAATTTAAAAAATTTTTATATTTAACTTAATATTTAGCGAGCGGTAATATTTAACGTTAATATCAATATATTTTTTAACAATATCAATATATTTTTTAACAATATCAATGTATTTTTTAACGTTAATGTTTAATGAGTTCTTTAATGCGTGATAAGTTTGATAAAACAAAAAAGTGGAATTAAAATGGAAATAATTTTCGAAAGATTTTCAAACATTCAAACCTATAAAGTACATGATTATAGCAAGATAAGTTCGTACGTGTACGTACGCAAAGTACGTGATTAGTACATCAAGTACATGATATGCAATACTATTACTGTATTAACAGAAACTATAAATAAGGACGAAAATCAGCTGAAATTAACAAAAATTGAAAACAACGTAAACAATAGAGAAATGAATATCAATTGTAATAAATTTATTTATAACATTTTATACGTAACGAAAAGTTTTTAACCAATATTCATTAAAGTCAAGAAGATAAAGAAAATCATATGATCATACGGGATGATCGAAAATCATAGTGTAATTGTAATAAATGTAATTGTAATAAATGTAATTGTAAGGTGTCAAAGCATTGTAATTGTAAGGTGTCAAAGCATTGTCAACGCAGTGGGACATCAGACAAGATGTACACCCGCCAAACCCTAATTTGATCGAATGCTCATGAAAAGTGATTCCATGTGTTTTGTGACAATAGGTTAAGAATGTTGTTTATGTTGTTTAATACGTTTATGGTACGGACGTACATGTATTGTACCCAGACGCTATATGCTATTTCTATATGCCACATCTATATGCTATTTCTATATACCACATCTATATGCTACGTCTATATGCTACGTCTATATGCTACGTCTATATTCTACGTCTATATGCTACGTCTATATTCTACGTCTATATTCTACGTCTATATGCTACATCTATACGTATGCTACATCAATATGCTACATCTATATGCTACATCTATACGTATGCTATACAATATACTGAGTATATGCTACGTAGATGCTATGTACAGTACATACATATGTATGTATATGTTATATCGATATGCTACGTATGTATGTATGTATATGTATATATGTTATAAGTATCAGGTATGTTATGATATTGTATATCGATATGGATATTGATATGCTATTCCTGTATGATTTCGTACGATTTCGAGTACTTACGCACATATCGATATGCGTCATGCAGATGTTTCCTAAATTATGATATAGATATTAGTATGGAAAATTTACTATTTGAGATTAGTATCAGACCATTCAGATTATTCAGATTATATATGCCGGTATATATATATATATATATTTTTTTTAGATTTTTTTTAGATTTAGATCAGTCGCGGTACAATCTTTTCGACACAAAGTTTATCGACACAAAGTTTATCTTGCACTTATTTTTACGTTTTAAAAAGAATATTAGTGAAACGACGTACATGGCCATGCGAGTTCCCCCGTGCATAATGCAGAAAAATCAATAAAAAAACAAGGAGAAAAACATAATATAATTAAAAGAGAAAAGCGTTATCTTTATTGTTGTAAAATATAGAATCGCCGTGACTGGCTTAAACGAAACGATTTAGGAAACGATTTGGATTTAGAAAACGATTTAAGGAACGAATTGACGTTAAGAATAACATTAAAGATAACGTTAAGTAAGGATAAGGAAGGAATGAATGAATGAACGAATTAAAGTTAAATTAAGATTGAACGAATTAAAGTTAAAAATAAGATTGAACGAATTAGAGCTAAGGGAACGATAAAAAAATATTTTTATTAAATTTATTAAATATTTTTTATTAAATATTTTTTATATTAAATATTTTTTCATTGGTCCATAAATCTGGGCCGATTTATGTTGGCCATTGGCCTGAATTATCCTGGAATTTATTCTGAATTTATAATTTATTCTGAATTTTTATTCTGAATTAAGTGATTAACACGGTTAAACAATTTTTTATTAACGTTAATGCATCAGAGATGATACTTATTAGGTTAGACAGATAAACGTGGTAAAGCATATTGAAAATCATCGATCATGAATTGTTGCAATTGTTGTTAGGAGGATTGTTAGGATTGCTAACAGGGAATCACCGAACGTACGCTGATAATGATAATACGTACGTACGGCAGTATATGTACGTATATATATGTATATATGTATATATGTATATATGTGTATATGTGAATATGTGTTGATGTGTAAAGCAGTAAAGCAGTAAATCAGTAAAGCAGTAAAGCAGGTTTATTACCTGCGCCATAAAATATATTGTTAGCGCCCTGAAGAATCAGGCTCTTAAATATTTATATAAACAAATATAAATAGTTATATATCAAAGGGGGTTCCGGACTTTCCTTAAAACACAATCTCATGTAAACATTGTGGCGATGTATTCCTTGATAACTTTTAGCGATTTTTTTTTTTTTGTTTAGCCAATAAACCATTATAAAAAATAGTCATTTGTTCTTTTTTAACGTGAATCCTTATTGTATTTATTTATATCTATCGTTACAGCATTATGCCGAGTATTTCCAACTATAAATTAAATGATATCAGTATCAGTTACATAGTTAGTTAGTCGGTTAGTACGTATCAGTTGTTTAAATTATATATATATATATATATATATATTATTTAATTTAAATTTTTAACGTTAAATAAATATACTATATTGTATACTGTAATAAATATACTTTATATTTATATAATATAATTTGTTGTCGGTAATACGTATAATACATACTTATCGTTATACTAAGATATGACATCGCACATCAGTATAAAAAAAGATAATGGTTTTCTGTCACAATCATCTCCTTGCATTAATTCAGTTTAGTGATTAAAGTACAATCAATGTCTACAAAAACAAATATTTATACTTCTACTTTTCGTCTTTTTTTTCATTTTGGTCGTCTTAACTTTTTTTTTATTGAATTAACGTTAACACCTTTGGTGTTTTCTTAATAATAATCTTCTTTGGCCTTCTTATTGTGTCAAAGAAAAAAATTATAATTTTATGACTTTTTATTACGAAACAAAACTATTTTTTTAACGCCTAAAATTACTCTATTCTATTTTCTAATCTCATTTACCTGACTTGTATTCTTTGCATTCTCTCAGACGACGCCCATATATATATATTTTTCTCTAAGAAATTATACAAAAATGGTTTTATTAGTTTTAACTGAACGTATCCGACACGCGATATACCAAGCTATACAATCCCCTGATTTTGATGAATCCGCAAAACAAAGACTTAAAACTTATCTTAAGTCTAGAGAGCCTAAATCTTCCATTCCTCTCGATCTTGTTAAAGAGGTTTCAAAATTCTTGGTTAATCGCGATGGGAAACTTGGAAGAGAAATTGGTGAGCTTGGTACTTTTTTCTTTCATTCATTCATTCATTTTTTTTTTCAATCTT